CCATTGAGTCGGTTCCAACCCATAGCGACCCTGTATAGGGCTTCCGAGGAGCAGCTGATGAGCTTGAACCACCGACCTTGCAGTTTAAATGGTTTTGCAGTCTGGTGCATTAACCCACAGTGCCACATCAGTTCCATTTGTGTGTGTGTGTTAACATATGTTAAACGGAACAATTAAGGTATGCCACAGTATTTGCAATCTGACTTGTTTCTTAAGATTTTTGTTTTGTTTTCTCTTAATAGAAACAACAACACACACGTGAAAGTGACTTGGGCCTCCTTAATGTCTAAGAAGCCCTGGTTTCAACTGTTTTGGCGCTCAGATAGCTGGACTCACATAAATATTTTATTCTCTGGACTAGCCATCCCCAGTTCTTTGAACCATCTCTCATTTTCAGTTGCTGTAGGAAAGAATCTTCTTGACTCTCTTATTCTCATTACCTCAGAACAGAATGCCTCCCATCTTGCCAAAGTCACAGTAGCAGAGAGAAGCTGTAGTCACATTTGTGGGCTTGTTAAAAAGCCCGCACTGGACTGGCTCCATGTTCCTTCTCTTCTTTGTTGTTATTGTTGTTGTTGTTGTTGTTGAGGGCCATCGAGTTGATTCCAATCCATAGTGACCCTGTACAAAGTTTCCAAGAAGCAGCTGATGGGTTTGAACCACCAACCTTGTGGTTCACAGTCCAGTGCTTATCCTACAGCACCATCCCAGGAGTCTCTTCTTTAATCCTCCCATATCTCTTCCAGGTTAACATTAAGAGATACATCTTACGAATGACAAAGTAGGCCCAGAAGAGTGGAGTTGCTTTGACAAGGTCATGGAGTGTGTTTTCATGGGTCTGAGTAGTTTATTCTAGGATTTCATTGAAACTTTGATAGTTCTTTTGTAATATCTAACACTGCTGGGATCAGAGCCTGTACTGGGAAATCTGAGATGAGTGCAGGAGTGACCAGTACTTGCTAGTCACTCATGATTTCCAGAGTACCAAGCCCTAATGTACTTTATGCCACTGTCCTCCCACAGTAGCCTGTGAACCGGGAGACACTGACAGTTTCTGTTTTACACAAAAGGGACTGTGACTCAGGGCCGTTATGATAGGGAGGTGGCATAAAGTAGTGGTTATGAGAATGTCACCGAACTTCAGATCCCAGATCCCCACTTCTAGTTGACAATCCTCTGTAAAGTGATGTTAATAACTATACTCAATGACTGTTCAGAGGGGTTGTCAGTCCAGGGCACATGGGCCTTGGGATCTTGCTCTACCTACACCCAGGCCAGGGTTGCCCCTGAGTCCCCTCTGGAACAAGAGGCTGACTAGGTAGGTCTGTTCCAATCATCAGGGCAGCAAACCAGAGCATCATGTTCAGGCCCAGAAGTGGTCCCAGCCTCTTGAGAACTTTCTTCCACCTATGGATGGCCTGGGCCCAGGTTTACCCCATGGGAATGTCCAAACAGGGCCACTTCCTTCCATTAATTAATTCCATTCCTGAAGCTAACCTCTATCAAGACCAGCCTCTGTACAAAACCCTGACCTCTGTTTCCATCAAGAGAACAAACAACCAAACGAAAAACAAAAACAGGGAAGGCAATATGTAACAACACTAGTAAGATATGCTCACTTGGAATGGTCAAAAAACAAAACAAAAAATCCAGTTGCCATCGAGTCAGTTCTAACTATGGCAACCCAAGGTGTATCCAAACTCTGCTACATAGGATTTTCAGTACCTATGACTTTTGGAAAACAGATGGCCAGGTCTGTCTTTTGAGGTACCTCTAGGTGAATTTGAATGACAACCTTTTAGTTAGTAGCGGAGTGCTTAACTGTTTGTACCACCCAGGAACTCCTTCCTTTCACCAAACCAAACACATTGCCACTGGGTCGATTCCAACCCCTGGAAACCCTACTGGATAGAGTAGAACTGCCCCCATAGAGTTTTTAAGACTGTAATCTTTATGGAAGAAGACTGCATATCTTTCTCCCACAGCCCAACCTTTAAGCCAAGCACTGCAGTGGCGTTGGTGGACAATGTGAACAATAGTGGACAATCCCAAACCTCACAGAATTCACAGTCCAATTAACAGATAAGAGACAATTTTTGTAATATGATCAGTAGTACTATGGGACAAGTACACAATTCACTGTCATTTAAATAGCAACTGCCTTCTAAATAGTATTTGCATGTAGCCTCTCATTCACTTGGTGTCATCTCTTTTGGTACTTTGATCTGGTGCCCACACACTTTTGGGGATGTAGGTAGTGAGGTATTTATTGCTCTGTCTCCTGAGTCCTTCATACCTCTGGGCTTCCGGACTGGGCAGTGGAGTTGGGTTCACTGGGGAGCCAGCAATGTGTGTCAGAATAGATAGTGCTCTCATCTGCACAATAGAGGCTCAATCAATGTGCATTATAGAGGACTTTTGCTCCCTCTTCTCTTATAGCCCAGATACTAGGCACCTCACCCCAATAAGCAACCATCTGAACAACGGAACTTGCACAAATGTGGAAGAGTTTCCTAGTTGATGGGTAATATTTTGAGCAAGAACACCAAGGGTAGGTGCCATAAGATTACAGGTATGGGATTAAATCTTAGCAACCTGTCTATGGACTCCCCGATGATACAAACGGTGAATGAGCTCAGCTGCTAATTAAAACTTTGGAGGTTTGTGTCCACTCAGAGGCATCTTGGAAGAAGGGTCAGGTGATCCACTTCCAAAAAACCATTCACTTAAATCCGACAGTTTTACTTTGACAGACATAGGGTTACCATAAGTCAGAGTACCTGATTTTTAGTTTCACCCTTATTTCTTCATCCACCAGTGAGGGTCCCATTTACCTCCTTGAGTTTCAGAGAGTAGAGTCAGGATGGTGAAGCTGAACAGAGTGGCTGTGTGCCTTTCTCTGCCTGGACTTTACCTGTATTGAATTGTGTTCAGTGGAATTTGAGAGAAGATACAAAATGACAGGATGTATAGAAGAGAGCTGAAAAATTATACCAGTAGGTGATTTTCTAGTCTGGGAAACTTAAACCCAGAGATTGGTAGTAGTGGCTTCAGTTACAGTTAGTGCTGTCTAGTTGGTTCCGACTCACTGCAATCCTATACATAAGAGAACAAAACATTGCCCAGTGCTATGCCAATCTCACAATTGTTGCTATGTTTGAGCCCATTGTTAGTGCCACCCTGTCAATCCATCTTGTTGGGGATCTTCCTCATTTGCATTGACCTTCCATTTTTCTAAGCATGAAGTCCTTTTTCCTCCTGACAACATATCCAAAGTAAAGAGGCAAAGTCTCACCATCCTCACTTCTGAAGAACATCTGGCTGCACTTGTTCCCAGATAAATTGTTCTTCTGGAAGTCCATGGTACTTCCAATATTCTTCACCAATACCATAATTCCATTTTTCTACAGTCTTCCTTCCACCGCTTGTCTGTCCGTTTGTTGTACTGTGCTGGCTTTCATGTTGCTGTGATGTTGGAAGCTATGCCACCAGTATTTTAAATACCTTCAGGGTCACCCAGGATGGACAGGTTTCAGCTGAGCTTCCAAACTAAGATAGACTAGGGAGAAGGAAACACAGACTACTTAACAATGTTTAACTACTAAAACCTTTATGAATAACAGTGGAACACTGTCAAATACAATACTGGAAAGTGAACATATAATGGATAGCACCAGAATATTGTCAGATAGATTGTTGGAAGATGAGTCCCTCATGTTGGAAGTTATTCAAAATACAACTTGAGAGCAGCTGCTCCCTCAAAGTTGAGTTGATCGTGATGACATAAATGGAGTAAAGCTTTTGGGACCTGCATTTGTTGAAGGGGCACAGCTCAAAATGAGGAGAAACAGTTGTAAATGTCCATTAATAATCAGAACATGGAATGTACAAAATATGGATCTAGGAAAATTGGAAGTTATCAAGCATGAAATGGAAGGCATAAAGATCGATATCCTAGGCATTAGTGAGCTGAAATG